AAAAAAAAAAAAAAAAAAAAAAAAAAAAAAAAAAAAAAAAAAAAAAAAAAAAAAAAACTAAAAAGATGAAATAATATCATTTATGTGAGGTATTCATTAGCGGGACAATGTAAAAAAACTAGGCCTAGTAGCGGAACATCGGACAACTATTGATTTTCGTTCCAGGCTTCTAAAAATAATATTTCTAGAAAAATCTTTCTAGAAACTCTAAAAAAAAAGTTAATTTTGCAAGAAAAAACTTCTTTTGGAAATACGTTTGTAAAAAAAAAAAACCAATAAAAAACACGTCTTGGTTCAACTAATATAACTGTATGCATGTACATTATTGTCTTAAGGCTCGACACCATAAATGGTGTATTTATCTATACAGTAGATGGTTCGCGGAACGGTGACAATGGAGTTTGAACAGTAGGTGAAACCGTTGGATTTGAAGCTCAACTCCCATCCAGAAAAAAAAACTCATTTTCACTTATGAAAATTTTTGCCCAAACCCCGGCCATCAAGATCTAGAGACGGACACGTTACGTACAGTGCCGTCATGTGGCTACCCAACATAAATTTTTATTACATTATCGAGACAATTATCCAGACGTTTACGAAAAAAAGGGCTTCGGCTATTTGTATGTTCAAGAACAAAGAAACCCTGCACGTAGAAGGTACAAATATTACATTTGTGTCGGTTAACGATGAATATAAACCCAACATGTGAGTAGATATATAAGCTGTACTTAATTGTCACTATCAGGCAGAGGAGTCGTTACATGTACAAGCTCCTCCCTTTCTCGGAGTCGGAAGATAATGTCACGGAAAGAAAAAAAAAAAAAAAAATGAGAGCCATGACGCGCACGATCTGTGACGCGCAACGCTGCGTTTACTGACTCCAATGCTCATGACTTTAATCATACCACGGGTTAACCCCCTGCGACTGGAGTTCCCCCGAAAGATTTTACATTTCAAGTCGTACAAGTGCAGGCAGGAAAGCATTAGTACAGGGAATACAAGAGTTTTTTTTTTTTTTTTTTTTTTTTTTTTTTTTTTGACTTCCACACTCCGGTGGAAATTTTTGTGAAAAAAATCAGATAAAACTTAGGTTACAAAGAAACACTTGCTTTTCTCTTGCATTCCACATGCTGGTCCGTGCAAATGAACAGAGTCAAAGTGCACTTGGCGTGTCTACTTGGCTTAAAAATAAAAAATAAAATAATAAAGTAATGTGACGTGTAGTATTGGAATTACATGCTGCAGAATGGAGGTTCAATGTATATGAGAAAGGATTAATTAATAATATTATAAGGGGGTTGATGTATTCCAAATTCAAAGTTCCATCATTTATGCAATTGCACGCGTACTTGTTACGACACCAAACGTTGTTTATCTTGAACATGCCCGACGAATGATTTCTGTGACGAATGTATTTTAATAATCAGTTAATTTGTATGCAAACGGTGCAATTGTTAATTAAGTATAGCTGTCAGGACATATTGTAAACAGTCTCGGGGAGTAAAAGTGCACGCTATCGTATATACTTTGCGTTAATATTATGCGTAGTGATATTTCAATTAATTATTGTGGTTACCAATGTACTGATTTTTTTTTTTTTTTTTTTTACTGCACACTATGATGCATCTCACTACTTCTTTTGCATGTTTTCATTTGTCGTATTATTATGATTATTATTTTATTATTGTTAATGTTACCTTCACCATAAATTGTAATGGCCGTTGATTGATGAAAAAACAAAACAAAAGTGTTAAGCGATGAGAGATTGAAATTGATATGTATTTTTATGAAAAACGATGTTTTATCGCGTGAAAAATATTTTTGCGTCTTACCGAACAAGTATCAATGTAGATACCCAAACCTTCGGAGCTCACGTAATTTTTAAGGCCAACAAAGCGGTGAAAAAAGCATGACATTATTTGTCCCAAACGATGTAAAATCTCAAAAGTAGAAGTCAGATACAGAGTTGAAGCCACATGTACGAGTACTTGTACTTAATAATCATGTAAACTGATTATATAGGTGGAAAAGTTGGAGCAAGGAGTGTATTAAAATATTTAAGGGTTTATCCACACATGACGAGCAAACGGTAAACAGAAAACAAAAAAGTGAAATGACCATACATATTTGTACCGTTGTCATCGTGTACGAGCTCCGATTGAATTTTCTGCCAATAACAATAACAATAATAGTAATAATAATAATAATAATAATAATAATAATGATTATGATGATAATAAT